AAAAAAAAAAAAAAAAAGGGGGAGAAAAAAAAAGCCCCCCCCCCCCCCCCCCCCCCCCCCAAAAAAAAAAAAAAAAAAAAAAAAAAAATCCAAAACAAATTTTTGTAGGAATGTAAAAACTCCTGCCAAGGTTATGATGGATTCGATAAATAAATAAAATAAAGATATAGGACTTGTTCTTTATATTGACTTGTAATTGCTAAGATATGTGGAGAGAATTTGAATAAAAGAAATGAATAAGCATAAAATACTGATTACTAGACAAAGAAAGTAGAACTTTTGATTTTCAATAAGATTTATGTGAACAAGGCAAAATTAACATGGTAAAGTAAAGATGTAAGAACTCAGACACTAAAATATCTACGGATTTTCTATTCCAATCAACATTTTCAGAAGATGTGCTAATCTTGTGTCCTCAAATTCTAACAAAGACACTAACCCATTAAGACATTTTCTAATAGATCCTATAATCTTTAAAAACTAATGTATTTCTCACTAGCACACTCTGAAAGTTTCTTAAACTGAGTATAGGAGGGAAAAAATACTTAAAAAGTCCACAATGTTCAGGGGAATCCGCATTTTGGAATCTGATTCCATCCTGCAGCAGGGGACCCCCACTAATAACTTATTTATAAGACTAGGTTTAGTATGATGGGAGGACAACATTTTCACTCAACTCAAATTAAAAGATTCTACCTACTCTCCTTTTAAAGTCAACAAACAAACTTGTACTCAGTATTAAAAAAGAAATAGGGAACATTCTATATAAATGTAAAACACATAAATGAGCAATATCTAGTTCATATGTTTATTTTGTCAATGTCAATTATAGAAAAATATTGTCGATCATAGTTTCCACTTTCTTTTTCAATCCTATATGTCAAGAGCTAATTGAGTTTCACTCTTTTCATTTATGATATACAATGTATTGGTTAAGACGTAATAGAATTGCAATCATACAGGAGACCAAGCTGTGACACCCCAAACTTAAGCTTCGAGGGTCACGTACTAAACATAATAGCTTCAGTCTTTGGTACATGTAAATACTCTTAATTAGAAGTATTACATGTTAGAAACTTATTTTCAATTTGGTAAAATATTCCTTATAAAATTCAATAGCCGGTAGAAGTGCATGTCGACAAGAAATTATACTTTACATATACGGACTCGGCACTACCAAGGTTAGTTGGGGCAGCAAGTTTGACAATTTTTATAAAATTCATCCCAACTCCGTTTTACATGAAATTTGCGGCATTAGAAAGATAATTTCAAGTAGTTTTCTAGGTTAAAATATGAAAATTTTCCAAGATCATATGATATGGACGTTTTACTGAAAACGGTGAAGTGTTACACAGGAAATCTAGATTGACCCCTTGACGTTTAAAAATTTATACCTCAGGCCACAAATATCAAAATTGAGTAATTCCTGCGACCATATTTAGAAAACTCAAAGAGGAGCACAGAAATATTTTTAGAGTCTCGAATGGATGTTTATAGAGTTAGAAACATCGTTTTGAAGTTGACTCCAAAACTGCCCCGTTTCTGCCTTTTATCACTTGCAAAGAGAAGTTTCCTAAAAATTTTCTCTTAACACAACATGAAAGATATGATTACAAAATTTAACTTTAATACCATATTACATCGTGTTATGTACATGTTTTTACATAATACCATAAGAAAAACAGTCATCGAACAAAACGTACAAAAGGAAACTTTTTTGATGCAAAACATCTTTGTCCTTAATTCATCATCGCTTATGCCAACTAACTTCCATCAATCCAACAATCATGGATCTGAAAATTTAGTATAAAATACTATGAGTATAAGAAATACTCAGTAAGATACCATGCTTGAATTTTATCATGATAATACTACACAAAAGAATGCAATCAAACACATACTTGCACCTTCCGGCTTGTCGGTGCCCTTCGGACTTGTCCTAATGCATAATAGATATCTAACTTTGTGGACTTGTCCACCATATGCATATTATGGCTTTTCATTCATAACTTAAGCATAAATATTACCATAAAAATAATACCCCTTAAGCATAAAAAATATCTTACCATAAAACTTGAAGAAACTTCGATTGAGATATGAATTGAAAGTACTAGACTTTACTTCCTTTTCCTTTCCTTTCTTATTTTCGATTTTCCTCTCTATTTGTGTGTGCAAATGTTTTACAAAGTGAAGGAAATTTTTCTCTATGACAATGGATATGAATATATATATATAAGGATAAGGATAATGAATTGATATTTTTTTTCCTTTTTCCAATCTCCACCGCCTCACCTCTTTTTTCTTCCATTTTCTATTTTTTTTTCAATCTTGCTTCTACACATGTTTGGTCTATTACATAAGTGTATAGTGATGATAAATGACAAGTGGGTTAATTATAGGGTAATAAGTGGCCCCAAATTCTAGATTTACAAAGGAAGTCTCTCATTTTCCAAATAATAGAACCTAATCCCCCTACCTTTCATTATTAGCAAAGTGTATCCCAAATTTAAATTTGTATCCAACCTACATATTCAAATATTGTAGATTGTAAAATAAATCCCAATAAAATAATTTAATCATT